TACACTAAATCAAATCCTAGAAAAAAACAAAGGAATTCAATCTACCACTATGTATGGCATTCATCGACTATGAAAAGGCATTTGACACTAGAAAAGTCAGCAATCATTGAAGCCTTAGAAAATCAATATATCGAGAGACAATATATCGATCTGATTAAATATATATACGATAATGCTAAAACCTCTATCAATCTTCATAATATTGAAATCGATATAAAAATAAGCAGAGGAATAAGACAAGGCGACACGATGTTCCCAATTCTCTTTATTACAGGTATCGAAGATATTTTGAGACGACTAAGCTGGGAAGACAAAGGAATAACGGTCTATGGAGAATACCCAAACAATCTAAAATTTGCCGATGACGTTGTCTTGTTTGCAAACAACTTGGACAATTTACAGGAGATGATGGAAGAACTCCATAAAGAAAGCATAAAATCTGGTTTGCAAATCAACATTGATAAAATAAAAATCATGATAAATTACCATATACAATAAAAATGCTAGGAACGAGCAGAAATATTGAACCAGAAATAAACAGAAGAATATCACAAGGTTGGAAACAATTTGGAAAACTCAACAAAATATTTAAAGCAGACATACTGCTCTGCTTGAAAAAGAAATCATTTGATCAATGTATACTTCCGATGATGACATATGGGTCCGAAACATGGAATATAACACAAAGACTAGAAAAGAAACTCGCAGTCAGTCAACGAGTAATGGAAAGAAATATGTTGAACATAAAAAGGACAGACAAGATGAGAAATGATCAAATTAGAAAACAAACAGAGCTTATTGATATAACTAGAACAATTAAAAGAAATAAATGGAGATGGGCAGGACATGTTGCTAGACAACAAGATAATAAATGGACCAAGCTCTCCACAGAATGGCAAATAATGGACGGTAAACGAAAACCTGGAAGACAAGTCACAAGATGGAGGGGTGAAATTCATTCGTTCTTGGGAAACGGCTGGAGTACTTTGGCAAAAGATAGAGAAATGTGGAAAACATGGGAGAGACCTTCGTCCAGCAGTGGACGGCAAATGATTGTTAAATGATGATGATGATGAAAATATAAAAAGTAGATGTTTTTTGCTCACAATCGCGGTCCCCGACTGTGAGCGAAAAACATCCATTTTTTCCCTCTTGATGCATTTAAACGCGTTTTCAGCGAGAACACGATTGTAAAAGCGTATAAACGCATAAAAAGAACACTAAACGCAGTTGTCTTCTTCATAGTCGTAAATCACCATCATGATTATGATAACAGCTTTTGAAACTGAAAAAGACAACTGCGTTTATACGCTTTTACAATCAAATTCTCTCGAAAAATGTCTGTAAACGCACAAAGAAGGGGGAAATGGGTGTTTTTCGCTCACAATTGCAGTCCCCGATCGTGAGCAAAAAACATCTACTTTTTATATTTTTATGGCACTTTTTCATGGGTTTAGACGCATTTTGGAAAATATTTGTCTATTTGGGTATCAGTCAGTAAGATGAAAGTGTCAAAAGAAAGGTTCTGAAGAGACATTTATAAATATTAGATTCAGAATAAAGAAAAATATCATCAACATCTCATTGAAATAATTTTAATTTTGAAAATATTGGGATAGAAAAATATATCCACTTTTTAAGGATACATCTGAAGAAAAATATAATTCTTGGCGTTTCTTGATTTTGCAGCTAGAACTCCCAAGCACTCTTGGTGATATAGAACATTAGTATTTTAACCTTTGTCGATGAATTAACATCACTAGTATCTTTATTCGAGTACCACACCCTCGATAAATAATGGAACACACAAAGAAATACATCAATCGTTTAATTTTATTAATCAACAATAGCCTAAGCACATATCTGATATTAGATGTCATTTTTATGGAATAGTGCTGCTATTCGCTATACTGTCTTTATGGAACTATAAGTTTTAAAACACGAGGAGATTGAATGAACACTATTTTTATAAAAAAAAGTCGGATAATCGCAGGATGGCACTTATTCGCGCATAGTTGCACTTAAAAACAATCATAAGATACTAATCATTTCAATCTTAACTCTGGGATTCACATGATGTTTTTGGGATTTTTGGGATTCTCATGGGATTTTCGGATTGTCATAAGGTTTTTTGAATTTTTGGATTTTTATTAGGATTCAAAATCCTGAAAATCTGCCTTTTCCCCCTTGATTCTAGGTTTTTCATCGACTTGGAATGGTACTGAAGCAAAAGTAAATAGTGCATTCGATAGAGCTCATTGAGTTCTATCTTGATCCGCAGGGTTTAGTCTTTAGTCACAACTGTGAGCGAATCCAGTCCCAAGATATCCTACGCTGTCTAATTCCCTTTTTGAAGTACAGATAACTCCCCGATTTAAATCCGAGATTTCCACATTTATTTATTTATTTGGAGAACTTCTTAAGTGCATCTCTTCTTTTACCAAGAAAAGTATTCTGTTTTCAAATAGTGACATTGTATGTTTAGGCACACAACGATATATTCCATAGTCGTAGTAAAATTTTTTCCTCACTAAGCTGGATGTTTTGCACTAAGCAGCTACTACGAACGCCTTGGATTTCACTTTTTATGTTAGTAAGATGCACGCAAAGCAGAAATAAAGTAAAAAACCTTTTTTTTAATTTTCATACATCATTCGATAGAGAATTTCAAGGCGGTCAAGCTTATGTGTGCCTTGCGTTTTCTTAAACATTTTTCCGGTAGAAAAGTTGAAAAAACTCGGATGGTGTGAATACGGGATAATTTGGCAATTTTTCATAGATTGCTTTTTTTGTAAATGTGTTCCGACATGGAACCTTTTCACTTAGTTTTTCTATTAGATCATAGAAAACTGAATAAGGAACTGGTTTCAAACCATTTTTAGAACAAAGCATTCGTTTACAAAATAATTTCCTAAGACCTATGCTAAAAAACCAGAACTTAATTTTGCAAGTCTATCACAGGTTTTTTTAGACATGTTAGAGTCAATATTTTGACATGATTAGATTGGTCAGATGCAAAGCTCCAAACATACGAAGCTTTTTCTCAAAAATTTCTTTTCGTCGCTGAGAAAAATCAATTTTACTGAGCACACTTCAAAATCGGCCATGTGAGTTTTGGTCATTCTTTTCTATTCGCTCCCAATATAGTCAAAATATACTCAAATAGGTTAAAATCGGGTGTGGGTATGAGGGTGGTCCGGTGAACTAGTAGAAGATCCGCACCCACACCTACACCCACATCCGAACACCCACATCCATACTCACCCACACCCCCACTCACCCACATCCACATCCACACCCACACCTACTCCCTCAATCAGCCATTCTAGGGATTTAGGTAATGTAAGATTTTGAATTTGAATCTCTACTACGATCTCGTTATCTTCTATCAGAAGACTTGAAATGCAAATATTGTCAGAGATCCATGGATAGTAATTCTCGTTAATCTAGTGATCTGGAATCTCTGACATCGGATGATGCTAATTCATATCGAAAAGAAGACTCGAATACCACTCAAGATCAATTATCAATTTGCCCAACGATTTCCTTTTTAGAACGTGAATATAGGTCATTACACAATATATCTGTTTCTCTTTCAGGATCATCTTTATCAGGTCCAGCAGGAATCACAATATCTTCAATGAATGCGATTCCAGCAAAAAATATATCACGCATTCTCTCATAATCCAGCTTGTATTCAGGGCATTCAGTTTCAATTCTACAACGCCTCTACTATTCAAAACAAATTCAGCCACTTTAAATATTCTTCGAACTAAAGAACCTGAAACTTTTGTGGAACTCATGTATGTTTTCGAAGAAAATAGTGAATATAAGTTTTCATTTCGAAGTTTTGTGACTCTTCACTCCCCCCCCCTCCGTTACAGATCTCAGCAACTACATACAGAAAACTTAAGCTTTACTTAACAATATAAATAGGCTTGAACAGTATGAAGAATATGAGTTTGCCTGGTATACAATATTATAATGTTTTCATAATTATTTGAAAAAGTTCATACACACTTAACAAAATTCTTAATAGTATAATCGTTGGCTTTTTTAAGAGTTTAAATTTGTATGCTAAAAGTCAACAATGAACAATGATAATATGTATTGATCTATCGTACCAATGATATAATCAATACAAAATAACATCATTCGATCTTTTTATTAGTGTCACGAGGAAACAATATCATTATTGATGAATTAATTGAGAAGTATAAATGTTGTTAGAATGGATAATGCATGCTAAGCGCATTACTGTAAGACTTGTATTTATGAAATAGTTGATGATAAAAAAATTTCAAATGAAAAAAAGCAAAAAGAATGATTATTATCAAGTATATAGCAACACTAACAAAAAAAAATCGGGCACGGTCAAACGAAAAAGATAGCCATAGTTTGAAATTTACAAATAAATAATAAAATATTGTTTTTGTCAGTGATGAGTTATAAGAATTATTTTAAACAAGAGAAATCTTTCAGTTTACAGATAACATATTATGATAGCAAGTCTTAAGAATATATGTGAGTTCCACATTTTAGCTCCAATGGAGCTGTGATGACATGCTTTTTATATATTCAATGTTGATTTTTCACAGAGACCATTATGTTATTTCATATTGCATCAACGAAATGTTATGCTTCTTCGTGTAAAACACAATACTATCCTAATTCATAATTTCTATCGCTCCATCTTCCAAATGATGTAATTTGCTTTAGTATGTTCGAATAGAATAACGTTTTACCATTACAAACATCCATTCTTTCTTTTCTTCCTCTTCGAAAACGCGTGTTCTGTATGTATATGAAGACCTCTGCATGCCAACAACACTGATGTTTGACTCATCGTTTACTTTTACCAATACGCGATTTGAATCATGTGAAAGCAAGTCGTTTTTTTTTTCTTCGCAATTATTTTGATTCAGACTGTTTTCTTTGTATGCTTAAGTTAAACACATACATAAAAAGAATAATTTTGTCGTCAGCTGGTGTTTGTCTAGATGACATCTACCAACGATGTTGGACTTGCATCTGAACGTATTCAGAACGCAACAGAAGTCGATTTAAATGAAGTTACTTGTTCAATTATATGTGAGAATATATTATGGAAACCGCTCTCATGTCAACAGTGTGAAACTCATTTCTGTTCGATGTGTATTCGACAGTGGTTAGATAAACATCCCAATCAATGTCCCATGAGATGTACTTCATTTATTGAACGACCATGTTCCAAATTCATTGCTAGACAGTTAGCAAAATTAAAAGTTGTTTGTATTTATAGATCGTATGGTTGCCAGGAGGTTTGTTGAACCACAGTTCATTCAATTTCTGTATTATTAAAGGACACTGTTTTTATCCCATGTTTATTTTAGGTTATTCCATATGAAGCACTTGAAAAACATGAGATAACATGTGGAAATCAACTTGTAAAATGCATTCGCTGTCAGCTAGATGTACCCCGAAAAAATCTCGCACAACATCAACCAGTATGTCAACAGACCATGGTTATGTGTTTAGATCGAAATATGGTGCATGTAACATGTCAAAATGATTCCAAGGAACCAAATTCTGAGATAGCTGTTCTGAAAGCAGAAGTTCAACTACTTCGTCAAGCCTTAAGTAAGAATATATTAAAATTAACAATCTTAAAAGTTTTAGTTCTTTTTAAGATGGTTATATGGAATTATTAGTGGCTCGTGACATCCTTGCTGATAACAATGTAAGTTCTTCTATTGTATTAAAGGGTCAATTATTTGTTGTTTCTTGATCAACAGAAAATCAAACGAGTTGAACTTAAATCTACGATTCAGCTGGATGTTCTTCTTCGAAATCGGATTGTTCTCGATTCAGCCTCGCCATTCGCTAATAACGTTGTCTGTTCTGTATGTGGAAACGTTTTATGGAAACCTGTTTCTTGTAAAAATTGCAGTACTGTTTTCTGCACGAAATGTCGCCCTACGGGTGGTATTCTGGGTAAAATCTCATCATTTTTTAAAATCCAACAGAAATTTCACGGAAAAAATGGATGTGAAGATTTTGAAGAAACAGAAATATCTCCACAAGTGATTCATGAACTCGCCAAAGTACGCATTCGTTGTGCTTATGCTCCTAATGGATGTCGCGTATTTCCGTCCTATTACGAACTTGAACAACATGAAAGAGTATGTGAATTCGAAAGTATTCCATGTGAATTATGTCAATATCCTTTATCAAAACGGTCGCCAATGGGCGAGCACACACGACGAGCATGTTTCGAATATATGCATAATAAAAATCCGTCAGGAATTCAACAGCAACTTATGATACTTTACAATGCTTTCGAAGAATCACAAGCCGAAAATCGTCGCCTTCAATTGGCTACCACTCAAATGCAAAAAGAATTAAGAGACTTGAATGCAGCATGTGTCAAGAAGGACAGTAAACCAAGTAAAAAATGATTGTGTTTTTGTGTAAAGGAATAAATGATCCGTACTCACGAATAATATTCATCATATGTTTTATAACATAGAATATATGTCTTATTATGGATCTATAAAGTGGTTGAGGACTGCATTAGGGTGTGGGTGTGGGTGTGGGGTGTGGTGGGGGGTGTGGGTGGGGGTGGGGGTGTGGGGGGGGGTGGGGGGTGGGGTGTGGGTGGGGGTGTG